GTCAATACTTAATTGGATATTTCCTTCTATACTTTTTAGCACGTAGCTATTTATTATTAGCATTATTCTTCCGGCGTCTGATTTCTTTTTAATTATATGAAATGCGTTTTTCTAAGGTACATAAACTTCTGGGATCCTTACATCCTTAAATGACTCCTTGCAATTTGAAATGATATTCTTTACTGATTCATTGACGATAGTGATCATCATAAGATTGTTTTTCGTACCGTTGCCGCAGCTTCTTCGGCTGTTACGGTGTATTTCACTTTATCGCTCTCTATTTGTTGCTTCGCAATCACTTTTACTAGCTGCGCTACTTCGTCTGTACTCGTTTTCAATTTCGGTGCAAGAACGGTCAATTGTTCTTTCATCACTGTGACCATCTCATTGGTCTCTCGCAGTTTCTATATTATCGATTCAAATAATGCATTTCAGCAAATTGAACGAGTGGAAGCATTTACGATTTAGTACTCGACCAACACTTACATTGAGACCATTGGCAATTTTACGCTTCAACATTTCTATACCCTCCCTTCTCTTTCCTAAAGTCATTTGGAACAGCTTCAATAGCTCCAAGTAACTGCTGGGTGTCGTATAATATCTTCGGCGCATCTCTATGAAGAATCTAGCAGTCACCTCCTCCACAGTCTAGAATTTTGTACTCTATAAAACCCAAGTCCTTTGTTTATATCATTTTTTATTGTACCTCATGGATAAAAACGCAAATTGCGCTTAGTCCAGCAAGCTTTCCTGGATCCCCTGGAGTGATTGGGAGCAACGAGGTTTCTGCCACTGATAACAGGGCGTCCTTTGGCCACGTCGTAAACCAATCGATGGTGCAACAGTTGACCAACGATGGGAACATGCGACAACGATGCCTAATTACAAATAATTATTGGAATACAAATTCTTGTGTAAAACAATTTTGAAAATCGACTTTTGTATAAATGCAAGGTTTAGTAAAAAAGTGATGTTGACCTGAAAGCATCGCCTATAGGGCTCATGCAAATCATCAAATGAAGATGATTTCTGACCCTTCCAATGAAGAACTGATAAATCGCATCTCTGTTCCCTTCGTGAATTCCAATTTCCTTCGCCGCGGGTCTTGTACCTATGATGACTTTCTCGAGTTCATCGGCTTCGTACAAGTTCGGCACTTCACCTAGAACGAATATAAATACTGCTATTTTTTATGTAAAATTAATTAAAAAATACAGCATTCGGTTTCTAATATTTCGTTCATAAAAATTTGTTCTATAACGAATTGCATTTAACGAAACATTGTAATACCGGTATTAAGTGTATTATTTATATCTTCCAAGAATTCTTCTTGCACGATTTGAGTGTCCGTGAATAGAAACGTCGTGTGCTTGGCAGCGGTGCCTGGGTCAAAGTAGAAGCGGCGTAGATCTTCGTGCCACGAATTTTTATCGTACGTACGGGTAACTTCGATTTGGTAACACCTTGAGACGATCGTTAATCGTATCGATCTAATCTTTGTAAAATACGAAATATTGATACAAACTTGTAACCATTTAAATGAGACGCGAGCTTCGTTAAACTCTGTTTTCCCATCCCACCGACGCCGACCAGAAGACCGTTGCCTCTCTCGGAACGGAGTATTCTCGCGAGTCTGCAAACGTGTTCTATAGCGTCCATAAAGAAGATTATTTTCATATCTCTTCCCACGGAAAATCGATAATCTTCCAAATAATCCTAGAGTATGAATTACAATTAATCAATAGTTCTTGATGCAACGATTAATATAGCGATTTATAGAATTAATTAGATTAACAGACCTCCAATGTTCCCTTGACTTTTGGGATATCTGTGAGCTCTTCATAAATGCGTTGCTCCCTCGCCGCTCCAAAAGCCATGAAATCGCCAAATAGTAGTAACGGCGGTTTTTCGATGATCTTTTCGTCCGGAAGTCGCACCACCTCCGTAGCAAACGTACCGACGCATATGTTATTCAATAGCCTATAAAAATAGGTCTTGTCCTGGACGTTGATCAGTCGGTCATGAAAAACTCGTAGACACTCGTGATAAAAGAGCCTAAAAAAATGTACTTATACATCAGTTTGAAAAATCTGCTTCAGATAAATGCTTCTTTTGTTATTTAATCATTGAAATATCTGTTCACCTTTTGATATCTTTAAGCAGTTTTATCAATTGTATTTATAATCTGAATTTACTTATAAATGCTGGTAGCTGATTTGCTTATGATTCTACCTGTGCATTTCTGTCGGTTGCTTCACGACCGTGGCATCGACTTGCATGATACCTTGAATACATTTAGATAGATCTCTTAAATTAAAAATATAATGACTCTTCTCCGGAGTCGGTAGAAGATCCGTCGCGATCCTTTGGTAAACGTCGACGGTCGCATCCACTATTCTGTCTCCGATCATTTTTACAGACTCCACAAAATCTTCTAGGAACCCATTCATGATCGCTCTATAAAGAACTCGTTTCGTAAGAAAATAATTTCTCATTTTTTTTATAAGGAATTTACTTGAAGATTCCTTTGAGGGACAATTCGGTAGGTGCTGGGATGAGCAGCATGGCAAAGTGCCTCACGAATCTTGGCGTCAGGGGGTTCCTACCTCCTCCTGGAGGAGCGCATGCCACTGCAAAAACGACGTCTTCTATTGCCTTCCAGAATAACTTTTCTCTATCGTACATTCCGTTAAAGTCCAACAATTGTCTGTAACAAAATTATAGATACGTGAATCATTTCATCTCACACAGAATTAGATAAACAGATACTATTTAGTATTTGTTGTATCATTATTAGCAGACTGAGAATTTTATTCATTTACCTGCAGAAAATATAAAAAACACACATAACGTATAAAACTATACGGAATATCAAAAACTAATTGCACATTGCTATACTTGAATAAAAATCCATAGTTCAATTATATGAATAAGTATTACCGCAAGAGTTCGATAGGCGGTTGAGATCCATAAGTGTCCAACTTGGGCATATTGACATCGTCAACGAAAACGCAGACACGTTTTCCAATCGGTGCCCCCAAGACAGTTCTCTTCCTTTTCTCTAACTTGAGTTCTAAAATCTCCTGAGTCCTGCCACTGCTCGTCTGAGCAGAGAAGATCAAGTTGATCGGCACCCACAATTGAGTGTCTTCCAAATCTTTCAAGACTACTTTCGTTATAACTGATTTCCCAACTCCTATTAAATGAATGGCATAAGAAGACGAGCGTTGCATATGAGAATTGTATCTTTGGACCAATGCTAACCGGTATCGCCGGTGAAGAATACAGGCTTATTAATTTCCACCAACTTTTTCATCAAGTATCCGAATCGAACAGTGTCCACTGTTGGCACGAGGATATCGAAGAAGGGTACTTCGCTGTCGTATCTGAATTCAGGCATGATATCTGCCCATATATCCAACCGATGCGAGGGTACGTTTATGTAAATGTCCCACAAGTCTACCGATGGCAGTCTGCGAGCAAAGATAATGAAATGAAAGAATAAAATATATTTACCTCTCGTTCATTGTATAATGCCGAGTATAATGTATAGAACTGTTGAATGTCCCAACAGCTGAATGGATACTTCAGTGATTAAATGATAAAAATTTTAGATTAAATTTTAAACTGGTAGCATATCTTGCATGAAAATCTGTTTAGTGATATGAAAATCGTACAGTGCCTCCTCGTCGCCTTCGAACTGCTTCCTCACGAAAACTTCGAAATCGACGCGAGAACTGTCAGAGAGATTGCCACCCACAGCCCAAATATAAGCGAAGACGAAGGACTGAGTCAAGAACGTTCTGATTCGAAGTTTCTCCGTGGTTTTCTCAATCGCTTCTGGTTCGTTCAAAATGTACTCGAGTATCGCACAAGTCATATTTGCTTTACTGATATCCACCTGTTGATGTAAAAACGTTAGAAACGTGTTGCCTGAGATAATAAGAAGACAGTTTGATTAGGAGGATAGGAATTAGGATTAATAGAAAGGTAATTTGATTATGTACTAACCTGAGCAATCGGGGAGTAGCAGGTTCGTTTACTGAAGAGTAAACCATCTTCGAAATACTTGGCGAAAAGTTCAATGAACTGCGTTCGATGCTCATCCTTAAGAATAGTATCAGGGATCTTCTGTATCCATGATTTCACATAAGGCATCCACTTCAACTCCATAGGGTCCACGTACACCATTCCTTGGTAATAGAAAATGAAATGACAATAATAATAAAATTAGCAAATTTTGTATATGAATCGTTTCGCGAACCACAACGACTGACGGTGGCAGGCGATGCCTGTGCGAGGTCCATAACTTCGAACAGCATCCTCATATAAGGAGTGAACTTGATTCTCTCAGAGTTGGCGAGGCATAACATTTTATTATCGTCCAAAACGGTGTTCATATTTTCTATCCACACAGCATCGACTGGACCATCGCATATGATCCACTGATGATCTTCCGTTGTAAACTAAAGCGAATAAATTCTGATTTTCGTCCTAAGATTTAATAAAGATTTATACTAACAGAGCACGCGTGCCGAACTGTAAAACCGATTAATCCGTCGTGCCACTCGTTGGTCATTATGTCCACCTGCCCGTATAGTTCACCGATTGTAACAGCTTTCGGGTTTATCACGTACGTGTGAACGGGCTGGTAGACCGAGCCTGGTACTCCCATTTCGTGAAGGCGATTATAAGTCGTAGCCAGAGTCTGAGATCGAATGATTAATTTTTTTAACGACGATTCATTTATGATACTAGAGGATATGTGAGGCATGCGATTTACTTGAAGAACCGTAGTCTTCCCTGAGCCAGTAGGGCCCACTAACATTACTCCGTGCCTCACTTGCAAGCATTCGTGTAGCTGAGTAACTTTCTTCAAGATACAGCCTTCTCGTTGCAAGCCTTTATCTTCCATAGCCTGTGAAATATTAGAAATGCATAAAGCATGTTTAATCGAATCCTGAAGACGACGAGATTATATAACTACCGCAAGAGCTGTGTCGCTTAGAATGCCGTAATCCTCTTCAGGAATTTGAATGCCTGGGAACAGATCTCCCACGATGCCTTCGAACAATTCAGTATCATCGCGCAGAAATTTAGGTATATTGCTCTCTCGTAAGGCTCGAATTAAGACGACGTCTTCCGGTTTGTCGGGATTGTTTCGTTTCAGACTGCCTGCCATTACCAGCACGCTTTTTACGGCTCTAAAGGAATACGTTAGTATTGGGAAATGAGGTCAAGACTATCGCGGAATCACCTCATTCCAAAATCGTAGTGGTCTTGCTGCGAAAGTTGCTCGCTGCTAAGCTGGTACATCAAGGTCATTTTTTGTGACAGCGGCTTCGATGACTCGAAACCTTCCGAATATAACGTGACTTCGGCAATCAGTTCTAAAATTTATTTAGCGAAACAGGAACCGATCATTCTCGTATTTCTAAGAATCTTTTATCTAATGAACTCTCGCATCTTGGCAAATCATAATTAATTTCGATTTGAAACGTACTATAATCTGGTACCATCATAGAGAATGGTCGGAACAGTGCTTTTAAATTATCAGGCAGTTCCGTGCGACCGGCGTATCCAGGATTCATAGTGATAAACGTTGAGCAAGACATGACTAATTTAATCATTCTTCCTTCGAACATGAATCTTAAAAAAAGAACGGAACATATGCTGAATCGTGTCGAGATTTCTAACGAGCATGACTCACTTGGATGCTCTGGCAATTTTCGCGTTCCTAATCGTAATCAATTGTTGAGCAATCACGGAAAGGACTTCTATGTCTATTCTGTTGAATTCGTCGAAGCAACACCAGGCGCCAGAAGTCGCCAAGCCAGAGAAGAACCTACCCATCATCTTTGGAAAACGATTTCTTAGTCATTCTCAATTTCAAACGATCGAGGGATAATGTTTAAAGTACTCTGTAATCGAGTCCTTCGGAGCAGTTAAACACGACGCATTGGACGGCGACCGCCTTTGCTAGATCCTTGGTAGTCTCCGTCTTGCCGGTGCCTGCAGGACCCGCAGGTGCACCGCCTACCAAGTAGTTTTCATTCGTTTAACTCGTTAATTAAATTATTAATAGATTGATAGATGATTTAATTTATGTATGACTTGTAGATTTTACGCATGACTCATAGATGATAGATGATAGGCAAGATTGATAGATGATTTGAATTATGTATGACTTGTAAATTTTATGCATTTCTACCCAAGTCTAATTGAAGAGCTCCCATGAGACATAGATAACATTTATCCGTGAGAGGAGTTATCACGAGCCTCCTCTGAGCTCCGAGGTATTCGTAACCGTAAAGATATTCCGCGTTGCTCATACGGACTAAACAGGCCTCAGCTTCTTCGTCCCAATAATAACGCAACGCTTTTAGCCAATCGAAGCTCGTACTAAAAATTGATTAAATCGTATTCGAAATAATTAAGGTGGTTTACTTTTACTTCTGATGTTAAGTTTTTAATGGATGCAGTACTAAATAAGGTTGAATAATACTAAATAAGATGGATTCGGTACTAAATAAGAATACTTTCGTAAAAATACTTTTGATACTCCGATTCTCACCTGGATACAACTTTGTTCTCGACCATAGTCGTAACGATATCCCTCGCGTGCACGTCTATTGTTACCACGTTAGTTATTACTTCACGTATCAATCTCGGCAGTTCGCCTCTTACCATGACCGCCAACTCGTTCAGATCCTGTATGTCAAAACCCTCTTGATAATACTAACAGAAAACGTATTGTGAATCTTAAAGAGATGATACCGAACCGCGAAACATTTTTGTTCGAACGCTTTCATTTTCGTCAAGACACCTTCACCGGAGTCTAAGATATGGTGGATATTTCGGGTCCAAAATATCTGGCATACAGCAAGGACTATCTGTGAAGAGGGGGATAAATATAACTCGATTTATTAATTATTCGTTTTATTTTTATGGTTCCAAAAAGATAATACATTAACTTGTTACTAAACTGCGGATCTTTAAAATGATACATGGGTATTACAAGAATGCAGTTTAGATAGGTATTTATATTCAGTTATGTTTTATTGAAAGATGGCAAGCATTCTTCATATCTGTCGTAGATGCAATTTTATAAATAAATCAGATCCGCAGTCTTGTTGCAAAAGCGAAGCATGTAACCTGGGAAGGATGCATGTATAAAAAGTGTCCCCGGCCTTTATCAGCAAAGTCTTTTATTCCTGCTTTCATCCTCCTCCTCAACGTCGAGAACATCGCTTCTTCGACTCGACCCAGCCAATCCTCGACGTTGCCTCTGGCCTTCAATCCTTTACCCAAAGGAACTTTCTCACCCTCCGGAGAGATCATAGCAATGATATCCGTCGTCAGTATTTCGACCTCTTCATCGGTGTCGCTCACCTTCTTGGCGAATTCCAATCTGAATATCGCGTCGAAGCACTTCTGCAGGTGTCTTTGCACCGCGTGCGGATTCTTCGTCTAACATTTCACAAGCAACTTTAATAAACGTCATTCCTTTAAACGTCTTTTGTCAATCGATACCTGAGCGAGGATTTCTAGCAGCTCGTCGTTAGATAAGAAAAAGAATCGTGGGAATGCTATTCGTTTCGTTTCGAGGTATGCTTCCAAGCATTTCATCACTTCGTCTAGCATCGCGTTGTTCTCTTCGATCTGCTCTAGCAAGCCTGGTTGCGTACAAGTAGGCATAGCCAAAGCGGACTGCGACCGAATTCATTAAATGAGTTCATCCAATCCAATTTTGATCGCAAATCACATTTCTTCCTGTACATTATCTTACCTTATGAGTTCGTCTCATGAGATCCTTCCAAAACTTATCGACGTCTATGAACAGCTTCGCTTCCATGGGAAGCTGTCGTTGGATATCCGGGGCTGAGAATATCGCTTCGAGATACAACCAGTTTTGTTGCAAGTATTGCCACGCTTCCTAAGAAAATACATTATTGATCATTCAAGAAATATGAAAAAAAAAAAATAGATACATACCAGAGTAGCGGTGAACAAGTCCAGTTTTTGTACCCATTCTTCGACCACAGGTCGAATAGGCCCGACGTGACGGGACGCGTTGATCGTTTGTAAATTAATATTGCTCTCGTCCATCGCAACCTGAATTTCCTCGAGCGAACCGAGGATGAAAACGTCTTTCCCTTCTTTGTAGGGTATGACAATAAACTCCAAGCCCTCCCACGTGTGCACCACTTTCTTCAACATGTGCTCCAAGTTAGCTTCGGAGCTAGCCGCCGCTGCGACTTCCATTAACTCGTCGCCCTGGAAGAACGCGCCGAGCTGCTCCATCCGAGCCCAAGTTTTCTTCTCGTCAGGCTTGAAAGTGTAATTCAATATTTTCTCAATCCTCTTCCAGTGTCTGTCCCTCAAATCCGGATTTCTGAGATAACCGAGGACAGACAGTTTGTTCCTAATGGACTCGACGCTCTCTCTCAAAACGGGTACGATTTTGTTCGAAGGCAAGCCCCTCTCTAATTGAATAATATTCTTCATCGTTCGCATCGTAAAACCGGTGATCTCTTCAACGTCCAACGTATCGAAATCGGCGCTGTACCACTCGTACACTGTTTGCTCCCAAGAAGTCAGGCTCTCCCATAAAAGAGTTCGTAATTTCAATTCGTTCATTACTTGGTCCAAAATATCGAACCTCGTCTGTTCGAGCTGTTCGAAGCAAAGGAACATTAATTAATCATGTGTGTCATACATTTTTTGGTCGTGTAATACTTTAAATGATCTTTGATGCGCTCGGCACTCTTCTGCCTCAGCAGCACAGGCGCCTAATCGTCTATTGAGCTCCTTCAGAGTGTTCAGGCAAGCGTCAGGGTCGCTTTCCGGGTTCAGTAACCAAGGTTGCTGTTGAAAATCGTAAAAATAAATACGATAAAATCTGTTCCGGCTAAACATCCAAACACACGTTCAGCTTTTTACATTTTGAATAGATTTTATAATTTCTATATATTTGATTTTCATAAAATCTTCGGTCTAATAATCGTAACTAAATCGTACCGTTATTTCATCGTGAATCTCTGATATTAATTCGTTCAATGCTGTGATATCTCTTTGGAGCTGAGAATTAAATCTGTTAATCAACTTCGGCCTCTCTTCCAGTCTGTTCTCTACGACTAAACGTAAGCTAGTAAAATGACTTCCTATACCCTGTAAGCGATTTTCGTCAGTGCTATGCGTAGGTAAAAATATTCATAATCAAATAATTACTAAATAGTTAGCCATGTCCATGGACGGTATAGGAAAAGCGAATTCCTCCATCGTGTCATACAATTCTTTTACATAGTCTAACTGGCCTTCCATATCGTCCACGCTCGCTTGAGCTTTATCCACGAACTTTATGTACGCGACGTACTCTTCTGTGGTCACAGGAATAGTTTCGAGATAATTGATAGCATTAATCGCTTGCGTTAACAAAGCATCCACTCTGCTTTTCCCGATTCTGGTCACACAAATTCGTGAATTAGAATGCATATTAAAATATATGTAATTTTTTTTAAATTTACCCTGGCATGACAGCTTCGATCACTCCCAGTTTCCCTCTGGGAGCGATCTCAGCAGCGTTCTTGAATCTCTCGAGTTGAATCAGGAAGAGTCCGAACGGCTGGGCGTCGATCACTTTCTGTATCACGTCCAGCTCGTTCATGTAACGAATGCTCCACTCCCGGAACAATTTACAATCCCTATTATCGCGAATGATATCCTCGTCAAAGTCCATGTCCTCGTGATAAAACTGTCTGATCCCATCGAAACGTCGACAGTATCGAGTCACAGCGTCGAAATTCTTGTTCAACATTTCTTCCACTTCCGCTTTGATCTCTATGGTAAAGGGGTCCTGTTTGATGATGTCCTGAACCTTTGGGGGATTCCCGCAGATCCGCTCCTCTATTTTGTGATTTATCATGGGCCTCGAATGAATAAAACCTTACAATTCCAAGAAACTGTTTGATGAATCGTTTCCGAGGAGGATCTAATCGTGTGTACCTGGTGAAAGAATGGAAGAAAGGATCCGAGAGCAAAGGCTTAATAGCGTACAAATTCTCCTCCCACATGTTTTTTATAGTTTGTATCACGAAGCGAAAGATACTTTCCAACGGGTCCATGACGATCTCCGCAGTCGGCGTGATTAATAAGTCCACCACAAAGTATGGTAACTAAAATCGTTTTATAATCGCAAATCGTCGTTCGGAGGATTGTAAAATATTGTACCTGAACGCGATGCGACGCTGGTCGATTTTCTTTCAGAGGCATGTCGATTACATCGTTGTCGATCGACTCCTCGTCTGGTAAGAATTCTGTATGAATCTTTAATGCTTGCAAGTACTCGCGATACGTGTTTAATAGCAGGCCATGCATCATGTTCGTTTGCATGTAATCGATTAGGTGTATAAAGCTAAAGAGAATAAAATGAAAGGAAACATCTTAGTTTGATTCATTTTTCTATAAATAGAAATCGAGACACTTATCTCAGTTATTAAACTATGACTCACCAAGATAGTCTGTAACACTTTTCTCTTTTCCGAGCTTGCTCGATGTAACTCATTTTAAGAATGCCGTCTTTCGGCATTTTGAATTTCACAACGCCGAATTCTCCTTTTAAGAGAAGATGAAGTAAGGAGGTTTCTTTTAAAACCTAATCAAATTTTAGATATCGTACCTAATTTTCCATACGCAGTTTGCTCTACAGTTATATTCGAATCGTCGGGAGTGTATCCGGCTCTTAACAGAGCACCGAGGCAGGCATTATTAACTATATCTACCGCTAATCTCCGAAATTCATCTAGCTTACTTCTAATAAATTCCAGTTTCGCAAACTGCAAATAAACGTTCCTTAGTTTCTCGTGTAAAAATTCCTCGAAAAACAAGCAATCGAAGATTTGCGAACCAGGGAAAGCAAGCAAACAGAAATTAAATAAACTCGGCGGTTTCGCAAAATATTTGCCGGGAAAATAAACACTCTATTCTAATATCTACGGGCTAAGTGCAACTGAATTTTACCTCTTTTTCTACAAAGTAAAAGAGTAACAGTTTCTCGAGAACCGTATTGTCGAAGAAGCTAGAGTCAAGGAAGACCGAGCACATCGACTTTATTTCTAACAACGCTTTACTGAGAATCGGGTCCGATATGAACAGATTCTCCTCTAAATAATTCTTCGCCCTCACAAACTTCTTATACTTAACCGACTTCGTCCAAACATAGAAAGCTTTCCACAATTGGAACACGACGAATGTCCTTATCTGAAGATGTTAGAATTCATCGATAAAAATGATAATATATTTCACTGCATTCGTCGAGTGCATACTTGCAATAATTTTAAGTAAAACACGTATTCCTTCTCCCATTGCTCGATAGGAGTGAAACTCATTTCGTCTGGACTGTACTGGGTCACACCACTGGCACTGATAGTCATATAATTCTCACCTAAATCTTTATACTGAACAATCCTAAAACATGTAATCATGAAGTCTCGTGAAGCATTTCTAATCGGAGTCATTTACTTTAATGCGTAAGGGGTAAAATATTTCGAGGATCGTTCCACTGCGTATATCATATAAAAAAATCCTATACTAGGGTCCTCCCTTAATTTCTGAATCAATTCTAATTGATCGACGAGCGGCGGAGTGTCCAAATCTTTTTTCTTCTTGTACTTCTTAAACTGCCACGGTTTCTTCTCAGCCTCTGAATTACAAAAGAAATAAGAGCGCGTGCACAGAAATATAGTGCCTCAATTTCTGTTCACGTCACAGTTTCTACTCACTGGTTAAATAATATTACACATAAAATTATAGAAAAAAAAAGTAGTGAGTAGTGGAAAGTGAACACAAATTGGGACATTTACTATAGAGAATCTGAAAGAATAGGAATGCAACTTGTGTCTGTTTTCGGCACTTCCTTCACCGGCAACGTTTCTTCTTCCATTTTCAACGGAATGCATGGTTTGCACACTTGTTTCCTAATTTTTTCTTGTTGTGCACTAAACCCGGTCTACAGGAAACACGCACTTCATATTTCTTCCGAATGAGAGACTAACGCAAGAGGAATTTTAAAACTCACCAGCGGCTCCCGAATTTCCGGCTTGTATTCGATCTTTTCAAGGAGTTTCTTATGCGGTATAAAAAACGGTACTTCATCTTTTCCTCTGGACCAAATCGTCAAATATCGTTATATAAAATTAATTGAGTCACTATAAAAATGATCGTGCGCGCGGCACGGTTTAAATTACATTTTATAAGTGCGTGAAGGTTTCAGGCAGAGTCTGCTCGCGATGTTAGGATAAACGTCGTACGCGGCAAACGATTCGAAGCTGGCTTTCGATTTCTTTGACAAATCTTCGCTCACTTCTTCGCTCGCTTTGTGCTTATTGCTTCTATCCATGTTTCCTGATCAAAATTACATTTCTTACGATAAATAAAGTAAACTATTCGACTTCGCGTCGTTCCCTGACTTAGGTACACTTAGGTACGTATCGATTAAACAAATAAAACTCAGGACCGCAATACTTTCACCAGTTTCATATCTGTTGAAGCGAAAAATGTTTGAAACGAAACTTTCGTTCCTGCCTTTGATTCATTTATAGTATTTTTTTAAAGGAAAAATTTCTTTGAATTCTTCTCGCATTTGTATTTGCATTTTGCTATTTTAATCGGTGGAAGATTAATTGGGAAAGCAGCAATTTAATGTATCTTTTTATCTGTTTCCTTGAATTTATAAATACATTGCGATCAGTAGTTCAATTAATAGTAGGTATAAATAAGGTATAAAAAATAGCCTTCTGTTTAATTAGATTTTATTCAATAGAAAGTACATAAAAGATTGCGTGTCAGTAAGTACCCACCGCCTGGACGTTCATTAATAAAAAGTATAACAGGAAACGAACTATCATTATCGTGTTGCGTGTCAGACGTCGGAAGATCAAAGTAAAATACATCTGTACATTTAAATTCGTTTTAATATGGATTATTATCGTACCGGCCCGACCTCTGCGATCGGAAACACGCCCATCTACAGAGTCGCGCATAGTTACAGGCCAGGTTATCATGGCGAACACCTTCTTCAGTCGAACCCGAGATACGCGAGGAGTCGGGTATGTGTCCATTGTGGTGTGATCATTGCAGTATGTTACGTTTTGTTGTTGTGGTTTCTACTTCAATTACCACCTAATGTTACGAGACGCGAGTCTACGTAATTCAGTGTCTAAACGTGACATCTGTCCTGTAAAAACTTAGATCTCTCACACGACAAGTTAATCATCTATTAAGCCTTTATCAACGAGCCTATCTGTAATCATCTTAGCAGTGGTGAGTACTGCACGGTACCGACTCTCTTTTTTGATTATTATCACTGCTTATATAGATAAATTGCCAAGCATAAGAAATTTTTAAGTGAAATCATGATTGCTTTTGCATCATCGCTTCGTGTCATCTCACATGACGACGTGAGAATCGCGTCGCAGCTTTCAACGGAAATAATCTTTTGAGGGCTCTGTAAAACAGGTATAAACATCATTTAATACCGTGCTTCTGTCAATGAATATGTAACTGCTTTTTTATTCTGTATTAAGATGTTCAGAATGCGTTATCTATCATTTCTCTACATTTCGAAGACGTGTTTCGTTTGACGCTCTGTTGACAGTAGATATCATAAATCAAATTTATCTTTGTGTAAGCTACGTTCGCTCGTATATGCAATATTAATAGGGAACCGAGTACCGGTTGTAGACATCGAAACGATGAAAAATGTTCGCTCTTCCTTTTTGCTGGGTGTAATATGCAGATTCAAATTCTTCTAGAATTCCGTTTCCATGTTAGATTCACGTGCTATGTAAGCTTCGTGTGATTATAAGCTGTTTGTGTTAGTTATACATGATCTAACATGTATATGCGCACAATATATCTAAAATATTATTTAAAAAGGCTCTGGATTTCCCTAATTCAATGATATCGGAAAGTTTCGCACTACGACGTTACCAGCCTCTTTCGTTATTTTTAGACACCGTTCTTTTCCATTGTACGATATATACGATATTTCCATCGAAACAACTCATTAACTCGGTGTTCTCTCTCCTTCTACGAACACGTGCGCAATTATGTTATTGCTTGCAAGTTAATTACGGAATAGTAGCTAGAGAAGATTCTACTATTACACGAAATTAACAGTGTATGTAATAAAGATTCCGGCGAAAAATATTGTTCGTACGCATAATCGAAACAGAGTCTAATCTTCATCCGTGATTGCATAAAATTGCTCAGGGCGTTGTCCTTGACGCGAGGCGACACGATTAGAAACGTGGATCTTGAATAGATAAGTCCAAATAAAAATTTACATCGCGTCGTTCAATGATCTCTGTTATCATACCTAAATAACGTTTTTCGGGAGCTGGACAACTGAGCATCTTCGCGTTAAATAACTTCAGCCAGAATCGACGGGAACGGTCTATGAATTAAATTGGAAATCAATCGTTTATGCGTGTTCAACGAATTGAATTATGTGCTGTATGCTCGACTACGTTTGCACGGTTATAGCGGACGCTTGCAAACGATGTGGTTTCACTTGGTTCACGTGTTTCCAAGGCGTCGAAGATGACAGTAGCAATTCTGCGAGCTGGCAGTCTTATTAGACAACGGATAATTGATGTTACGTAGGAGAAAATGCAATTCCACCAGATCATCGGTTTCGAAGACTGAATATAAATTCAATGTGTAACCTTGTCCTTTGACATTGTCCGCCACTTGTTCGTGTAAAATGGTCTGATTGTGAGTCGATTGAGCGAAACGAAAAATCGTAACTTCAATTTTTCAAGAACTAACAGTTTTTTTATCGTGCGAATTGAAAAAATACGTGCCTCTTACGAGTGGTAGTGTTACATCATCGTTTTAAGAATCGATGCAAATCGATGTGCGAGCATGATTTCTTAATGCGAGTAAGCATACGATATTTTAAAAATAACTTTCCTTTCAGATTATATTTAACGAAGGATGATTTAATTGATGTGTTCCAGAAAATCGTTTCCACTGAGGTATCTAATCATTAGAATAAAGAATTGTGCAGTGGCCTGTATCCGGGAAGTGACCCCGAAGACCCGGCCTTACGTGTCTGTCGAATATATTAAACTGTTTTCCTCGCGCCACGCTGAATACGCTTCTACGTGAATTTTTTGTATTCAAATATTGTCCAAGAAATGGACCGAACGTTCGTCGACGAGGAAACCGGCGAGAGTATCAGTCTCCCAGCGTCTGACTGTAGTATCCGACCGGTCATCTCGTCGATAAACAATGCCGAGACCGGGGAGCCCGAGATCAACGTGGTCGGGATCGAAAAGACAAAAAATCGGAGAATACGATTCCAGGTAATGCTTTCGATCGATTATCATAAAAAGTGCGTTACTTTTTTGCCTGAACAAACGATGGTACGATCGTGAAGTCGGTACGTGGGACAAGGATCGTGTGTTATTATAATTCGATGCATATTCATATAATTCTATAGATTCCGAAGGAAGTGAAAGAGACGTTGTCCATAAAAGACGGTTCCTTAAAGAAAAGCGAAAATCTGATGGATTTGGAACCGGTCCCCGTCGGATCATCGTTCGGCCAACTAAACCCAGTTTGTATATGCTTTCTCGCCGTCCTGTGCTTCCGCTGGCTCTTACCGGTGTTGATGTTCCTCGAGACGTCGCTGCACATCTGGTCCCACCACAAGAACAAATCGTTGAAGAACGCCAATGTCTACTTTCGCTCACCTTTCCACGCGATATCTGCCGAATTTTGCGCAATCTGCCAAAATGAAACGTGCATGAATCGTATCGGTAAGATGCAGCAAATACGTATGCACAAGTTTTTGCAACAGTGCCATTACATGAAGAGAGTGGTAACGTGAGCGGATCGCTGGAACTCGAAGGGCTATTGTTTTTTTTTGCATGAGACACCGAAGAAAAACATCGCGCGGAATGAGCAGTGTCCGGTATTAGCTTGTTTAAAAAACAAATAATAAAAAATGTATTAAACGTATTTTAGTATTAAGGAACTACTAAACCTACATGTGACTTTTGTTCGTTTAGATTTCACCGCTCTAAATTAATCGAACTTGTTAATAATGTAGAAGAGAGGATTAAGGATAGAGCAATGGTGCAGGAAGAAATTTTTATATCAGGGTTATTGGTACCACTAATAATAATAATGTAGGTATAAAAATATATTATTGTTTTTATTATTTCATGTTCAAGTTACAAAGATGTGCGTATTGCTATTTTTCTAGAGGAAAATATTTATACTAAAATTTTTACTTTATAAATGTAAAAATATATCAATTTTTCTAAGACACTTTTCACATTTCCCATACCGACGTATGGTTTACACGAATTTTGTCGCTTGTTATCGATATAATAAACTGTTTATATAATCACTCGAGTTGTACGTTGAAAAAAATAAAATTCATCGATCGTTACATATCGGTCACCTCAAGTCACCACTAACAGTGTCATCCTAAAATATATGTATCAAGTCGCACAGCGTGAACATTAATAAACAAAAAAGATTTCTAATCTCTAACATCGAAGAAATTCCCTTAAAATCAGTCGAGATAATCTCAGCGTAGAGCTAAAATTTCTCTCGTCGCGATCAGGCACAGGGCATTAAAATCGGAAGGAAGATGAGCTCTCCAAAAGCGGCACTTGTTCCAAACGTAGGCAGGGTAATTCGGACTCTGTATACCATGAAAGATTCGCGCGACGGCGCGTCCAGTGAAACTATTATCTCTATAACTCATAATCAAATTCCGTACGTCACTAGCTATTTGAGCTTCATTCTCCAATTCCTTCTGAAAAACAAAGAAAATGTAAACGCATAATCCTCAACATCTAACCTCGTGATATGCAATTTACAAACCCGTCGTTTCATATCTATATCTAGTAGCGTTCCTTCTGCAAAGTAACTTCGAATTACATCTTTTAATTGATCAGATCTCGAGTTCATCTCATCATTCACTGCCAGACACTGGTTCACACTCGACACGCTGAACTTGTGAAGTGTCACGCCAATTGTCTCGAGTTGTTGCAAAGCTGCATTTTCTTGTGTCTGAGTGCGACTATATAGAGCATCAAGAGCTTCGTCGAGTTCCTCATCCGTCAAGTCCCCTGGGGCTTTCACCCTCAGACCAAGTGTATCGTATCGTACCGAAATAGCTGAACGCTTCGACGCACCATTAACTGAAAAAACCAAGTATTTTAGCAACGATCAGAATTACTGTATCATCAGTAGAAACAAACCTGTCTTCCATTCCAAATTTTTGAGATGACTCTTGACAATCCCGCTGTCCCATCCGATGGCGGATGCTATGTCTACTACAGGGAATTCGATCACGCTACTATCATCGTGAGAAACACCTTTTTGCAACTCCATCGCTATCGCCATTGCCAGAGGCGGCGACTGAAATATTAATAAACACGTTTGCAATTCTAAAATAAAATCTGTATTACGGATATACTAACCGATTGTGCGGCTTGTTTTAAACCTTGGGGCCCGTTATAACTCGAGACTCTGGCTTTAACATATACGGAAGACAGAACGGTAATAAATCTTCGGGGATGTAGTTCGAGGTAACATAATAGAGTGGAAATTATCTCCTCGGGAATATCTAGAGCCTCGACTGTCTCATCGATTGGTATCGCCACTTCGTGACCCGGGCATCTGTAACTCGCATTCTTTTCGCGTAACTTGCCGCAAGAACATGGGATGAAAACTTTTTGCAATAGACGTCTAATCATATGCCTGTCCACTCCGTTGGCATAAATATGCCGCCGTAATTCCCACTTATCTTTGTCCTCCTGTAGAAAAATAAGTCTTGCATGCAGTAAAAACTTGGCTATTTGAAATAAATTAATTTACCGTCGGATTTAAGAATAAATGACAGTGCGCTGGGAGTCCGTCTCGTCCAGCTCTCCCAACTTCCTGAACGTATCCCTCAAAAGTTCCGGGCATATTGTAGTGAATAACGGCACGAATGTCTGGCTTGTTAAGACCCATACCGAAAGCTACGGTAGCTACGACAATTCTAGTTTGCCCATTCATAAACGCCTTCTGTACAGTTTTTCGACGATAAGCTGACAAACCAGCATGATACGCTTCGGCGATAGAAGACAGTTTACTTTTCGAGTTCTCGTAATTATTTGTGTTCTGTTATAAAAGAATATAATGTATCCAAAGTATTTCGCCACCGACGCGTGGTATATAAAAAAAAATACCTGTAAAGAAGTTCTCAGAAGGCCCGCGATCCTTACGCATTCTTCACGGCGGGTGCAATAAACGATAACCGAATCGCACTCCTTGAACCTCTCGCTTAACAGTAAATTGACCAGAGCACGATCTCTGTTTTCATCTTTAGACACCGTCAGCAGCAAGTTTCTTGGCATTGGAATATCAGAGATAACGCCTGCCATGCCGTCGTGTATACCTAAATGGCTGACTATGCTTTCTGCCGTCGATTTTGTGGCAGTGGCGGTGAGAGCTAACACAGTTCTGACACGTAATTTTTCTTTAAGGACTCGACAGACCATGAGATAAGACGGGCGGAAGTTATGAGACCATTGAGAAATGCAATGAGCTTCGTCTATACACGCGAAAGCGATCGGTGGAAGCTGCCTAAGTAACGCACCGAAACCAGTCGATTTCTCTCCAGCGACTACTGCTTCTGGAGAGATCAACAAAATATTCAGTTGCCCGTTCTTCACCATTAGCATAACGTTGTCCCTTACTTTCTGCGTTTGATTCGTGTGCAGACAAGCTGCAGACAAGAACGCTGGCACGCCGGTTACCTGGTCGTCCATCAAGGATACCAAAGGTGATATGACCAAAGTGATGGAATTTGAATATTTGGAATATAGATACGCTGGTAACTGGTAGCACAGAGACTTTCCAGAGCCAGTAGACAATGTCACTAGGGTTGACTGGCCAGAAAGTATTCTCATTATAGCTTTCTCCTGTCCGGGTCTGAACGTTGTGTGGCCAAACATTCGCAACGTTTCGAAAACTTCAGTCGGTGTATCTATCAATGATTGATCTTCGTTAGGTCGATATAGTGGTTGCACGACGTCCTTCTCCGGTGGTAATAGTTGTTGGACCAATTCTTCGGGAATTTTGTGACCGCATAAAAGTTCTTCATCCTCGATCGGTTCCCATAAATCATCGTTCCAATGTTTAGTCTCTTCGTTCGTTGGTTCTGCCGACTCGCCCGTCTTAATAGACGAGTACGACGGTTTTTCCGGTAAGCGATCGATTCTAGAAGCATGTGCAACGATCGCATTTTTACTGGCCATCTCCTGCGCTTGTTCCAAAGTTGGGAATTCCGAGTCTTCGTCTATTTCGTCTAACGGTACTAAATCGTCACCCTTTCTCTTCGGGCATCTTCTCGAAAAATGACCACGTTCTCCGCAGATAAAGCAACCGTGCGTGCCAATTTTCTCAACGAAATCAGCTACTGCCAAACTACCCTCGCCAGATTCGAGTTCCTTTTTCCTTTCCTTCCACTGGTTTTTTTTATATTTCGAGAAATTGAAATGTTTCTTACCGCGTACAAATACTTTTTTCTTCAAGTTTATTCGAACAAAGTTTTCATTCATTTTTCCATCAGCTATCTTCTTTTCCAATTTTTCTTTATCCGTTAAGTATTTTCCTTTCGTTGACCGAGGTACTATAGTAGATTCTGTGTCGTCTTTGGATGAAACAGATGTAGCGAATTGTTGAATGAGATCTCCTTGACTGCTTTTACTGATCGCGAAACGCGGCACAGCTTTAAGTGTTTCTATCCCATATATATGATTTCTTTTACTTCCTTCAGTTTCGAGATCATCATTATCAGGTTCACTTTCTACATCTTTCTTCTTCCTGGTCGCTCGTTTCGGTTTAGCTTCATTCTTGGTTTTCTTAGTGCCTTTACTTTTTCTCGTTGTACCAATTCCCGAAACGTCATCCTCATCCTGTAGATCCATCTTTTTTCTATAGGTCCTCTTGGGTTTAGTTCCACTCTTATTTTTACTTGTTGTAGCCGATCCTTTGGTTTTGCCAACTCGTTTTGTTCTAGTTTTCTTTTCTTCTTCCTCACTATTTTCATTATAATCAGAATCAGAATCATCGGACGAAATGTGCTTAATTCTCCTTCGTATTTTACGATTCACGGGCCTAGGTTTTTCGACAGTCTCATGTGTGTCGGCGGTTTCTGATACATTCTCAATTTTTTTATTACAATCTTTAATATCATTTGTACTATTATTCGCGTCATTGATTTCAACCGTAGTTATATTAGGATCGTTTAAGATAATATTCTTTTCCACGTTGAAAATCGTATTGTCATTAGTACTGGACCTCAAGGTTTGCATTGTATTTAAGTTGTCATAAGTAGTTGTACACAATTTTTTAGACGGATTTTCTTGATCACTGAGCCTCTTTTTAAAATTCCTTATACGCTTCTTTCTTAATTCCTCTTCCGTATCACTGTTGCAAACAAAATCCTCTTCATCCGATATTTGAAAAGATTTCTGCGACTCCGCCACTGGCACATTTTCTTTAGGCGATTGAACATTGGAGTCTACCAGTTCGATCCCAGAGTCACTTGTCCCAGAAAGCCTCTTGGAATCGAGTACTGGACAGGTCAAATTACTTTGCCTTGAACATCTATCGAGCCACCCCGCGTTTATATTTCTATGAACCGTGTACCCTTCAATCAACTGTTGCACAGTGGCGATTGACTGCGTGGCAGGTTTGTTCTCCATGTAACTTACTTTTACCGATTCACCAAACGCAGACGTCGTTTCTTCAACGACTAAACTATCTGTATTACTCCCTTCGGTATTTACTCCATGCTCTGGCACGTTCTTACTAACGTTGATATCTTTATGAGATGTTAATTTCTTTAGCTTTGGTGCAGACAAAGATTTTCTAGGATTTCTTTTTGTAAGGCTTAGACTTGTAAATTTATTTTGTGACAACTGAAATGACGATGATCGACCCACGAGCAGCGATTGCTTCTTTTTGGGTACTTGCTCATTAGCTTTACTTAAATGATCACCCCATACACCATTTACATTCTTATATTCATCTTTATTTTCACTGACATTATCAAGAGCAGATTGCCTTCCATCTTGTATATCTGTTGTTTTGGAAATCTCATTATCTTTATTGTCTGGGTTCTCCTTATCAATTGGAGTGTTGGTAACAGATGAATTGTGTTCTTGTGAACTTGTGCTTCCAGTGTTCTCTACGTTCTCCTTATTTGTACTTCCTAAATCTATTTTCTCTGAACTATTCTCATGTGTATTTTCTGTTTGCTGTTTATCGTACTCGCACATATTCTCTATGCTTTGGCTATTGCTGTCCCTTAGGGGCTTGTTATGTTTAATTTCATCAACTGGTGTATTCTCTACAGTTTTAGGGGGAACATCGTCATCTGAGAACGTAATATCTGTAAGCGTCTCCTCTAAGGCCTGCGTTTTAAGCTTCCAATACATTTTATAAGATTCTTTTATTTTCATATCAGCCTCTTTAATATCATTCTAAAACAATGATGTTGCCCGTAAGCAAATTACGATGAAGATTTTGTTTTGACAGGGTCATTAAACAAGGAAAAATCGTTAAGGGAAATAAAATTATTAAGTAATCGGACTGTTTAAAGGTAGAAATCTCGTGCTATTTATTAGTTAAATCATTTCTGAAACTATGCAACGGTGACGTAACTGTAATCGAAATAATTTCTTGTCAATCATGATAGAAACTACGTGAAATACCTTGTTTGGCTTCCGACCATGCTCCTTAGTGAACCGACTCTCCCATAGTTTAACACGAATCTTGTATTTCTGGTACTGTGATTTAAACACTGGATCCTCTAGGATCTCCATGCTTTAAAACTACTTAAATGTATCACTCGGTTATAAATATATTATCAAGAAATTGTCCAGTGTTCGAGGTTAGTTGACCTACGATATCCCGCGCAAATCAGTACTGCTACTCCGAATATAAGCTCGCGGGACACGCGTCATTCACATAATCTTTTGTGAATGAAATTTTGTTATTGAAATAAAAAGACTCGTGACAGTATTTCATTAAACTAATAATTGTATTTAGTATTTATAGTATTTGTACAATTTAAACAATATAAATATTTGAAGGGAATAACATTGGGGAGAAAATTAGGGAATAACGTTCTGAAATTATTGTATTCCTGGATGCTTTAGTTTGTTACATCAATCGTTCATCTAAATCATCACGCGTCGCGTACGACAGGTGATCGCTGATTGCGAATTATTTAATTTAGCCGGTAGGTGCAAAATTGGTAGGGTGGCGCCAACTGACGACGGTCGGTCGCGGTTCAGTTTAAGGCAAGATGGCCGAGCGGTGGTGACGGGTCGTGGAATGTACGGCAGGAGAATTGGTGATCTCGGCTTAGTGCGGATGGCCTAGCGATGGCCGAGTTCAACATCGACATCGGCAAGCTTCCGGAGGACGTGCGGGAGAAACTTGCTGAGCTGGACCTCGAGTTATCTGAAGGTGAGTGGCCAGCTTTTCGCGAACGTACCGCTACGCGAACCCTTTCTGACTCACCCCGTGCGCGTACGAGAGAAAGAATCCCCTAGCCCTCGTTGATAAAATCGATAATACCTTCGCTGTTGCCGTTCCACTCCCCTGTAACTACGTGCACCAGGTCTCCCGTTACCCTCCCTTGCTCGTCGCCGAGCTTTTCGCCGCGATTCTGTCAAACGTTAATAGACGAAAGATTCGGGATTCCACGAAACGAGCCTATGCGCCCGAGTCCCCTATCGACCGCGCCTCGCTCACCTCGGACCGTTCTTTTCCTTTTCGACAATCACCGATAACATTATTTCTCTCGTCTTTTGAATTTTTTGACTCGTAAGTAAGTCACGGCTGGATACCGAAACGAATCTCGTGAAACCTGTTTATACACCGTGCGTAAACGTGTCTAGTTCATCGGGCTCGGTTTTCCGGCAGAACGACGTTCGAAGCTGATGTTACTGCCTTTGTTTGATGACAATTTATTATTGCAAAAAGAGAATCACTAACGTAAGTCCTGTTTTTGGCGAAACTCGATGTCAGTGACATTTTGTATGGCGTACGCCTCGAAATGTCTCAGGACGTCCGTGCGATCTTACGATTTGTTTAATTAAATGTCTCAAGACGTAAAACGTACGCGCGAAATAGAAACAGAATCGGGTGCCCGGTCTTTTTTTGGCTAGCATTCCCACAGATTTATTTGTATTTGCAGTCGTCTCTTTCGCATAACAAGCTATCGACCGGTTTCTCGGTGTCATCCCCGAATACTTGACATTCCGCTATCTGTCAGGCATTCGCCACTCAATAAGCCATTACTACTTTTTCTCTCGGTCTGACAAGCCGTAGAAAAATCGAACCTGGTTCTGTCATTCGGAATTCCTGCTCGAATTTCGACAGTAGCCACTCGACGAAGCCGTACGATACAGAGTAAAAATTCTGTCATGTTCTGTCATGGTCAACTACCTACAACGCTCAAAACTGTTATATAAATACTCTTTGCGTAAACGTTTTGTATCAAGTTTTATTACAAGCTGATTGAGGATACCATTTGAAATGAAACTGTATATATTAATCTCGAGGCATAGAAATTATAGATAGCCGGAGATCGAGGTTAGCGGAATTTCGAAACGAACTCAAAATATCTCTGATGGTTCGAGTGCTCGTTCCCAAGCGCGTTTCGTCGTAGTTCGCACTGGGTGTCTACTGGCAGATAGCAGCTCGACGTTACAGGTGTGAAGTTTCAACCGTTCCCTCGACGCTGACGATCCGCTTATTTGCACTCGCAGTTAGAGCAGTTACACGCGCGATGACAAAGAGCTTCGACCGGTTTTTCCGCGCGGTCCCTTTGCCAAACGCATTTAAAGGGACAGCTAGACTCACGGCCGTTCACTTTCCACTAATCAAGTCGCATACCTCGACTGTTAGAATTCATGTCGCGATATCTGTCTTGGACAAAGCAAGAATTAACCGTAGAACTCGATAGAGACAATAACGATCAAGTGGTAGTATCGAGTTTTCTATTTGCGTAGAACGAATTTCTATCTCGTTTTTCAATGTGACTCGAGGCTGCTTCGTGACAAAGTAGATACATATCCTCGTGCAATGACGTCAGCTGGACGGGTCACTGTTCATCTTCTCTAAGCTTTATTTGCATGTGAGGTAATTGCGCAGATTACCCGTTCGTGCGTATTTCAATTGAAACTAACTGCAGACCGTCTTGAGAGAAATCCTCTAGGACGATGTTACGAGGTGTGGTAGACACCACACCCGGCTATATATCGTCCAGAGACTACTTTACTGCGTTCTCAATTCATTTCAAATGAAACTAATCAGTGATCAGTAATCAGAGTTTAATGAAATGGAAAAAGAAATCGATTTATATTTTTTTAAATGAATGAAAAGTTGACGGTGTATATGTATATCTGTACCGGTTTGAGTAGAATAAATCAGTTGATATATGCAAATTGGAAATTAGCCAGAAATCTGGTAGGAATTACACGGTCCGTGACTTATTCACACGGTTCCATTCATCCGCGGTGCTAGGCATGTTCTCGTTACGCGTATTCAGTAGATCGGCGTGTCGTCTAAATGGGAGGTATTCTGTTTCTCGAATCATGTGCAGGTTGTTGGATTTCAGTGTTTATCGTGACGAGGCCAGCCTTGGTCAAACCGTGTAACGTTTCGCTGCGATGACTAACAGGCACACAGAAACTGAAATTGAGGAAAAATGCCTACAATGCGTATTATCAATATTTCTGTCTATGATATTATAAACAGGCTTTACAGTTTTATGGTAGTTTAGAGAATACAGTACAGGTCATTTATTTTTTCATTTATGAACATTATTTCATTTTTTATGTACTTGTGTATTGAATGCATTCAGATACAATTTTTCTATATATGCACTCAGTCTGCAGTAATTATAAACATTAGGAGGCATTGACTTCCATCGAGACCTAAAGGGTTTCTTGGAATAAATTGAAGTGATCCATACTCTCAGTCTCGGTCCATTCTTGTCTCACAGATTATTAGAACATCGTTCTAGTTTGAGAACAGACGTCAATTAACAGGTTGACGTAATCGTAAAACTTCTTTGTCAGTAAAATCATGCAGCACGTTTTTTCTAAACCGTCGACGCCCCTCCTCGTCGGGGCTGTTGATTCGACTCACGCCTCGATTCATGCCGGCGAAATTAATCGAGCTTGTAATCGACGGCGTTAATATAATCGGTATGATGTAACGAAGCGATGCCGGCTCATTTACTCTAGGATACGACTCGAGAACGAATGATTAAAGATAGTTCGCGTCGGCACCTGCTAGCTTCGCCCGATGATGCACGTTCCTCATCACTTCCGGCTAATTGCTTTTTCACCCACTGAATAATCGAATACGTAAACCGGTTTAACTAGAATTATTCATTGGACAAAAATGTATATTCGAATCAACGTTGTGCATTCGGTTCCTTGTAACAGAGAATATATTCAGATATTTAGATGGAACGTTTTAAAGAGAGCCTC